AGTCGTCCCTTTAAACCAAATCGAGAGCGTTCCTTAACGAATCGGTACGTAACGTCTGGAGATCCTCCACGGCCGCTTCCCCAGGGCATCGGGCGACAGCTGGGCACCACGTCCTTAACTCGGGCAGGAGGTTCCTCTCCTGCCCTTAACCGTATCAAAACTACCTCCGCCCGCTCTACAGCCCTTTGCCCATCTCCAGCGGGGCGCCGGTGTTTCACCCGGGCTTCTGCCGGTCCGTGGAGACGTTTCCGTCGGGCACTCTCCTCTGCCGGGCAACTCGGTACGTCGAGACTATCTCCCCACGGCAGATTCGAGCACCTCGACCTCAACTAAACAATAACGAAATCTTACGAGAGCCTTGACATAACTGTACGAATCAACCCGAGAGCGTAGCTTCTGAGCAGGGCGGCGACCCGAAGGGAACCAGAAATCGAGAACGTTATCTGTATCGGTAACCAGAGCCGCCTTGGGACTGTGATTCGAAAAATCACGTCACATGTTATACGGTGCTACACTCGGCCTGTCATATGTAGTCGCTGGAGCTAGCAGTTGTGATCCTTCGAAATACAAAGGGTGCTTCCTTTCATTTCTATCAACTAAAATAAGGTTTCATTTTTTGACACAAAAAGCCTCAAATCTAAGTATTGAATCCCCGAATTGCATGGCACTGTAGTGTAAAGACACGTCAAGATCATGCCAATAATTCACATAGAGACGAAAATCTGTAGTCATACTTAATGCATTAATTAATATATTTCTGGGTCATCAGGGTAGACCAAGGTATTCCACTTTCCTTAGTTTGTACACTTAAGTACTATTCAATAACTGGAGGCAGCAGCTTCTCCATCCATTAAGCTGCATGAAACAGCAGAACCCTATCCTCTTTTGATGGATTCTGCTCTCCTCTCATCAGACATTGTCGTCATCATCGACGTCATCTTTTCCCTCGGATCGTCGACGACCACGTTTTTGCTTTCAGAGAAAAAAAGAAGAAGATAGTTTGAACTCTGAACGAGCAACCGAGTCGTTGTTTCGTTAATTAAAGAAACTTTGGTATCTGCTCCGAGCTGTGCAATTAAATGAGTCCTTTGAGGGGCTCTACTTTGGCACCTTGACAATGTTGGCAGTCCTGCTCCTAGGGCCCGAGACGTCGCCCTAGATTTTTGAGTTGGATCTTCGTTCCTGCTCGCGACCTCAGCATCCTCTCTTAGCTAATCGTATTCGACGAGTAGAAGGAAGGAAGACAATGATGGGGGTACGGTGGGACACTTGAAGGAGCTTAAAAAAGAAGCAAGTAATTTGTATTGCTTTATTGGATATCCGATATCCACATGGTCCAAGAAGTGTCAGGGGACCGTTAGTCTTGCACTTGGGAATTTCCCACAGTCTCTCACGGTATATTGACGCGCACGTAGCCAGGTCTGGGCGCACGTAGATGTAGTCGAGTGACTGGGATAAGTGGGGCCCGTACTCTACGGAGCAGACACTTGTAGTAGTTCACATGAACTATGAACTGTGATGAACCATAAAGCTCTCCCTGCCTCTCTCTCTCTCTCTCTCTCTCTCTCTCTCTCTCTCTCTCTCTCTCTCTCTCTCTCTCTCTCTTCTCCAGTCCACCCCTTTGCTCCTCCTTCCCGTCCTTCCCGTTCTTGGAAACGTAGCCAGCAGCACCCTAGGAAAACCGCATACGTTTTCACGGTGTGAAGTTTGAAGTGCACGCAAGCACATCAGACTCAACTTCAAATTGAGTTGTCATCCACTCGTGGCAAAGTTATAGTGCCTTTATAATATCCTGGAGAGTCTAATGCTCAGACTATTAGAGGAGGATGGGGCTTGGGTTCATTCTCTTATTTCGATCGTTTCTTTCAGAGGGCCGCATCCTGGAGCTCCACTCGCCCGACGGCGTCCACGAGTGTTGGCTGAGGGCGAACGACAACGCGGAGGCGAACGTCTGGTTCAACGCGCTGCACTCGGCCCTGGCTGCGCTGACGCTCAAGGCTCTCAGACTGGCCTCGGTCTTGCCCGACCCTCCCCAGCTTCAGCACATCGGATGGCTCGCCAGGAGACATTGCCTTCAGGTGAGGAACATCCTTATTAGGCAATAGCCAGCACACGCGTCCTAACGGTTTTGGTGCCGAGATGGGTTCATTGAATCCTCCACTCCATTCGATCGTTCCGCCGTCGTTCGTGCCCTGGGCAGGAGCGAGAGGCTTTTGGGATTCCCAGTGATCACTCGAGTACAGCGCCTTTACCGGCGATGGCTGTTTGTACATATGTACAGCCTTTTGCGATTGGCACGGACGGCGAAAGCGCGACTGAATGTGACGAATGGAGCCGAAGCTCCAGGCCCCGTTGACTCTGCGTCGCAAGAGGGGTCGCATCGCGGTCATCCGTTTGTTCTTCCCTACTTTTGGTGGTCTCCTCTTCTGCGATTCTCCGTTGCTGCTTCTTTCTCTTTTCCTTAAAAGATTTGGCCAATGAACCCAGCGCTCCCGAAGTTCTAGAGGAAGAACACCTGCCGAAGGCGGCTGGTTCGCATCTTGCTGCTAAGCGGAATCGATAGTCGATACGGGTGCTGATACGGGTGCATTGATAAGGGACTGATGGCCAGTGCGGGAATAAGCGGGAGGTGGGGTGTAAGGGGTCGTCGGCGAGCACATAATTGATTGGCATTAGCCCACCTGATTGCCAGGCTTCCTGCTCCACCGAGCAAGAGGCTCCTCCTGCGGGGCTAACCTACAGCTTGCTTAAATACATCGAGTCCCGCATTAACCAAGATCCGGCGGCCCTATTGGCTCGTTCGATCTAGCCTCTCTTCGACGCATAGACATGTTGGTCCAGCTTCGTTTGCGTGGATGCAGCCGATACATCCAGGCATCGGCTTCAACCGGTGCCGATCTATCGTACTAATATTCGGTTTCAATGCGAGGTGCCTAATGTCGCGAGTTATAAATGATCTCTCCCGAGGATTAGTCAGGGCAAATAGAAAGGAGATGAAGAGAGAGAGAATACTGGGTCGTCAAGCGGTCCAGGATCTGTCGGCGGATTGTATAGAGTTAAGGCTGCGTCAGGCAGCCCACCTGTCCCTACCTGTCCACTTTTCCTCCATTCCGACGGGAATATGCAATCGGTTAATTCCCTCCGACAGCCAGATATTCTCGTCAGTTCGTCTAAAAATGGCTCCCACCTCGGGCCACCTCCACCCACCTCCACCCACCTCCACCCACCTCCACCCACCTCCGCCTCCAGTAGCACTGCCAGCAGTAGCGAACCCTATTCTAGCTGATTCAATACCCAAAGTTAGCAAAATTTATCGGCGAATGCTCTTGCCCCTCTCCCATATTTGCGTAACGGTGTGTGCTGCCTTTCGAGAGGGTTGCAGACTCCTCCACGACCATCCACCGAAAATCCCGAGAATTTTACATGTAGCCGACACTTGCAACTTTCTACTATTGACTCGAACCTACGTCACTTTGCAAAATATTCCTTGAAATTCCCCGAAGTTTACCAACGCAATGGTAAACTGCTGGTTGATGAGGAGATCCGAGTGCCAGTAAGGATGCTACCCTTGTGTTTGACAATTGAGAAGTTCATTCGTATCGTTCGATGCCCGAAAGCATTTGGTTTCCCGTGTCCAAATGATATGTTTTGGAACGCGCTGTGCGCGGGAAAAGGAGGCGTGAAGGGGCAGGAGGGGCGAAGAGAGGTCGTGCGGTTCACAGTTAAGGCCTTACTTATGCCCGTGAAATCCCTCTTGCGATATATCACTACGGACTTACCTCACACCCCACGACGCCCCACGACGCCCCACGACGCCCCACGACGCCTCGCGAGCCGCCTCTACCAATGCTACACCGACGTGTGTATTTTATTAGATCCTCTATAGACACGGGTTGCTGCGGCCTTGCCGGCTACGTGTGCGTGCCACCATAAACATACAGATGCTGTGCAGCATTACACTAGGCAGATGCAGAAGAACAGGCAAAGGCCCTCGGAATGGGCTTTGCCCATTAAATATTTCGCGGCTCGGCATTATTTCTCTCTCTCTCTCTCTCTCTCTCTCCCTCTCTCTCTCGCGCGCACTCTCGCTGTACTCGATGCCCAACCCGACAACGCCACGTGTGCCGTCGGAGCCGCCGTCCAAAGAGCTTTCCACCTGTTATTAATTCTCAGCTGATGCTACCTTATTTACGGGAAATTATAATTTTACTAGTAGCATAAAGATAGGACGAAATTAGAAGCGTGATTTAGGAGAGCTGTAAACGATTCCCTGACGATTAACGCTGCCACGAGATACGAGCAGCAAGATAGAAAGTTAACCACACAGGATAGTCGGCAATACGCAAAAAGCAAAAAGTTTAAAACTTCCTTGCCTCCCTTCATTATACATGTTTATTGTACGCTATAATCGTTATCCACGTGTCGCCAGGTAGTGCCAGAGGATTGGAAATTTCCGAAAAATTTGAAATTCCGGTCGAAAATCGAACCCAATGCCTAAGGACAATCGAGCCAGGGCCAGGATCAGGGCCAGGATCAGGGCCAGGGCACCAACAAGCACTCTCCGTCCTGATGAATCATGAACACTCTCGTATCGAATGAATTCTTGAAAGCGCTCCTGTTTCACTTTGGCAATACCTATAGGCATTTCCAAGAACTGCAACTGCTTTGACGTGTGCCGATGAAACGAGCCAGTGATAAGAATGCCCCTAGACTACGTGAGTCTCTCCATTCTCTTGAGGAGTTCGAAAGTAAAGTAGTGTCGCTGTACGTGTAGGACGTGTAGTACGTGGGCGATAGGGCCAGGAGGCGCAAACTGCTGGCGCCCGCGCCCGTGATAGCACCACACGTAGCTACGTGGCGACGCTCTAATGGAAAGCACATTAAGGCTAAGTATCGACGCGACGCACGGGTAATAGTATTTTTACGGAATTCATGCAAGCGAGTGGAAAGAAGCGATACGACTAGGAGCATCTTCCCGCAGTCTCCGACGTCTCTGCTTCTTCGGCTTCTTCTGCTCCTGCATCGCATAATGGCCACTTTGGTACTTTAACGGAGGCTGCGGGACGAGGAGCGGTTTACGAGCAAGTGTTCCAGCTAATGGTTAAATTCGGCCGTGCATAACGTCACACCCTGTGGAAGATAACAAAGATAACAATCAATCGGTCCAGGTGCCGAAGCGGCCGGCACGACGCTCGATCTTGGAGAAATAGATGCTGCGGGGCCCGTGAGGGGAGGGAGGGTAGCTGCTAAGGGTAGGGCTCTGCTTTCCCGCGAGCCCATTATTGTAATTGAATGCGTCAGGATCAAATATCATCGGTACTGTGAGCGGCGGTAGGCGGTAGGCGGTAGGCGGTAGGCGGTAATGCGTCCCTCGTCGCGCACCTCGTGGCCGCCCCTGATACCGGGTGTCCATTAATCATGCACTATCGGACGGCGCCCTCTGTTCCATCGCGTGTGAAATTGAATGGCGAAGTGCTCGACCGCAGCACCGCCGCTCGTCGCCAGAGTTCTTCTAGGCAGCCTACCTGCCGCCGGAGATGCTCGAGAAAATGGTCCAGCTTCGTCTCGTTGTATTAGCAGTGGGCGCACGCGAGGAGACATTTTGCGAATTAGGCTCGAGGAACAAATAAAGTTTGAGCTCTTTTTCTCCTTGCGTAGCGAAATGCTTTTCCTATTTCTGCGGGAAGCAGCGGCATGCCGGTTGCCGCATTTCGGGATAATCTTGCCAGCTGGCTCAGACGTGGCGGTTGGCCGACTCCACAGCGAACTGGATAGTGCATCAGCAATGCTAAGTAAACTGCGGCGAAGATCCTGCAGTCTTAGGGATCAAGAGAATCGAGGGAATCGATGGAATTGAGGGAAACTGTAGAGAGAGAGAGAGAGAGAGAGAGAGAGAGAGAGAGAGAGAGAGAGAGAGAGTGCCATGCCGAACGGGAGATCCTCTCTCGCTCTCCCTGCTGCTCTTCTTACTCTCAGGATTCGGTCAAGAGACGATTCTGAGAACGTGTCTTCTTAAGCTCGGTTAATCAAACTGTGACAATCGAGTGGAAATAAGAAAAAGTCTTGACGTGAAAGAATTTATAAGTAGAGCAGTCGGTGAAACCGAAATGCGCTTATATCCTGTGTCTTGAAATTCTGAGCAATGTTAAGTGAGCAATGGCGAAGGTCAAAAAGTGGATAAATATCGAAGGGAAAGCCTAAAATTACGTTGGATTTTCGAAGGTGGGAGGGAGGAAGATTTCCATAAATCGGTAGAAATCACCTGCTAAGGAGGTTGAAACTGTAAGTCAGGCCGATAGAATTACAGAGGGGTTGACTTACATCGGCCGAGGGGTGCAATGAGCGGACTAAGGGAAGCTGGAGAAAGCCAAGAGCCTGAAAGGCCCTTATTGCTTTCCAATAGGGGAGGGAACCTCTGACGTTGATTCTCGATGCTTGAGAGTGTGTGGCGGCACCGAGAAGGTATAAAAGTGAAAATAATGAATGGGAGGAGGAGGGAGGGAGGGAGGGAGGGAGAAAGAGGGTGAAGGCAACGGAGGCGCAAACGGAGCGGCGTGTTTAGCGTCCCTCTTCCGCATAATTTAAGCGCCACGTGGCGTCGCCCGTGCGATTCGCACCCGCGTTGCTCGGCGAAGGACGTGACGACACGGTTCTTGCATTGTGTCTTGCATCAGCGTCCCCGATCTTGAAAACCCAGGCGCAGCATCCGTCAGCGCCACTCTCTTCCTTTGCCAAACGCGAGGCGCAACACCACTTCCGGTCTTCCATAATTAATGGTTCTCTCGGCCGTTCCTCCTTTCAATTACCTTTCAATTAATTCTCAATTCCTGTATCTGTGGGAAACGCAACCGACTCAATATTCTCGACTGTGCTCGACCGAGCATCGTTGCGCCGACTGAATTGAAAGGACTAATCGAACGGGAGGAGCCGAGCAGGGTGCGCGTCGACGGCCACGCGACCGCTCGCCCGGGGCACGGATGCGTTTTCATCGAAACATCAAAGTTTGACAGGTCAATTAATCCGGAGGGAGGGCGGGGGAGGGTAAATGAGAATCAGAATTCAGTTGAGGATTTATCACTGTTCTCATTGCAGAATGGCCGCGCCAGCAGCGAGAGCAGCGAGGATGGAGCTGGGAGCAGTGCAAGCACTTCTCGAGGCGCCGGAAGTGGTTTCGGGTTGGGCGGCGGATGCACTGGTGGATGGCGCAGTGTCTTCGGAGCGGTTTCCGGTCGGGAACTCAGACTGTACGAGTGCGCTCCATGGAGTCCCGAAGCATGGGCGTCGCCCAGCATCACCTGTCCTCTCATTGCTACCAGGTACCGGATCTTCTCCGTCGTCTCTTCCTTCCGGAAGGAGAGTACGAAATATCGATAAAGGCACGGATACGTGGGGCGACTATTTTCCTTAAAATTTAAGAGCACGTTCACGCACATAGACCAGCGTCACCGGCGGCCAATTAAATTCGCCGAATGAAATTAATGTCGCTCACTGTCGCAGACCTCATGAACTTTGCCAGGATGAAAGTCCGAAGGAAAAAAACTTGACATCGGCTGTGGACGCGATTAATCGTTCGGCTGATAATAATTAACGGTCGCGGCTCATAAAAGTTAAGGACCATGCCCGGACAACCTTCGTGCGGCTTAGCCGTCGCTCCGTCGCTCCGTCGCTCCGTCGCCGCCTGCTCCTGGGTAACCATCCCGGAGGGGCAGAGACGATTCCCAGTTAATTAATGGTGAATGATTAATCGTTAGAGCCGAGAGTTACCCTCGTCAAACAAACCTCCGAGCTTCTACGTGATCTGCAAATACGAGAGAGTACCAAGTACTCGAGTAGTATGTAAGCGCGTGTATACATCACTCTTGCCGAAATGATCGTTGCAAACATCCCAACCCCCACCCCGTATCCAGCATCACCAGCATCACCAGCATCACCAGCATCGCCAGGACCACCAGGACCACCAGCATCGCAACCGACATCATCATTCATCAGCACTCGGCAACGTTTCCCTGTATTTACCAGGAGCCCCGCCACCCGCGTCAGTTCGATCTCCAACGTGTTCTGTCTTCTTTCTCCTTCTCTTCCTCCTCCTCTGCGCTGACTTGCCACTTCTCTCTGCTTTGCTCGGCGCACCTCAAACTTGGCTCAACCTGTTTTTCTTCGCTTCGAAACTATCCCAAACACGTACCGCGTTTCGTATATTCCAGCGCGATTTCCCCTGTGACGCGTGTTCTAATAAACTTCCGGTGAAACTGTCCGAAACACGTAGCACAGCGCGCGCGCTGCGCTAGTCTTGAGCCCATCGAGTCGAGTCGAGTTGCGATGCTGGAAAGTGGCAGAGCAGAGGAGTCAAGCCAAGTCAGCGCGAGTGAACTCTCGAGTCCTCTAATTCCAGCGGAGCCTAATCGATTGGATAGACAAGGAACGTCCATGCAATCGTGCTCCCTCTGTTCCTGCTGCCAAATCATTCGATCGATCATTCTCCTTCGTTATTTTCAGTGCGATATTAATACAGCGGAAAAAGAAGTATAAAAATTTGGAGGTAGATAAGGGGGCAAAGGGCGCCATCCATCTGGCTAGGGCTGGTCGCGTCGGTTGACTGCTCCGATAAAGTTTTTTTTTTTTTTTTTTTTTTTTTTTATAGAGAAAATCCTGGTCGAAGGTT